CATTCCAAAAACGTATCAAATTTTATCATCTTTAAATATATAATAATTCCCCCACTAAGTATCATCAAGCTATATATATAAACACCACTTTGAATCACCCAAGGCAACAAACCAAATCAAAACACCATAAGAAAAAAAAAATAAAAAAAAAGAGAGAGATGTCTTCAGATTACTTACCTTCTTCATCTCAAGAACACTTCATCGACGGTTTTATCTCCAGAAAATTGCTTCAACAAATTCCATTTGACCACACCGCTCAACAACAAGCTCATGTACCTGATAAGAACAACTTGAGCGGCAACGTCCTCTTGCTTCTCTCTATCCTTGTCTGCGGTATGATCTGCTCCCTCGGTTTGCATTACGTAATACGTTGTGCATTCAGGCGTTCTACAAGTTTCATGATCGCTGATCCCATCTCTAGCCCGTCTACACCACGCGGTTCAGTAGCAAACAAAGGGTTCAAGAAGAAAGCTCTCAAGATGTTCCCAGTAGTGAATTACTCACCTGAGATGAATCTGTCAGGGCTCGGCGAGGAGTGTGTTATTTGTCTGTCTGATTTTGTAGCTGGAGAACAGCTACGGCTGCTTCCCAAGTGTAACCACGGGTTCCACGTTCGCTGCATCGACAAGTGGCTTAAGCAGCATCTGACTTGTCCGAAATGCAGACACTGTCTGGTCGAGACATGCGAAAAGATCTTCGGTGATTGCGATGAAGCTGATCAAGTGGCAGCAACATCAACGGAGAGCATAAATGTCAGTATTGCTCCTTTAGAACCTGAAGCAAGAGTAGGCACTTTTAGAGGAAGCAGCTAATAGTATATGGCACAATAGACATTCAGATTTTCTTTTCTAGTAGATTTGAACACAATTTATGTCCCAAGCAATACAATTCAAAACCCGAATAAACAAGAATATTTTTTCTTGTTTTTTGGTTTTGCCTGAATCCAAACGTGTACAGAGAGAATATATCTTATATTTTCAGTAGCAGCATAAGTTCATCAGACTTTTCTTTGCTTAGTTTCATTTCAGGCGGTATGTGACTTAATTATATAATCCTATCCAATACTCATCCCAGGCTAACAATTCAAACTGTCATCTGACAAGAGAAGTTTCATAAACATATCTGCATATTCATGTCACAGTCACTAAGTAGATCCATTACCCTTAAAGCTTGGTCTCAATGAAGCTCTGGGATGCCAAGGTACAGCAGACAGAAGCTATACTAAGATTACAAGATGCGATTTCGGTCTGTCCGGTTCGCTTACACATGTATCTATCTACTCACTCACAAATCTGGTATTCAACAATAGGTGTGAAGGATAATTCCTCCACATTTCATATCGTTGGATATTCCTTGTGCCTTCACACCTATTGTTCGCTTACACCTATATGAGAAAACCAACCTGCAGTAACTTAATCAGATTAAAAAATCTGAAAGTTGGATTCTTCCCAATGATAAAGAAAACAACTCCGTGTGGTCGGAAAGAGATATGGACCCAACCCATAATAGGGGCAAACCAACCCACTTTTTAGTGCAAAGTAATAGTCAAATCTAAAAGCTAAGTCTGAGGAATGCGTATAGTCATATAATATATCAAGCAACAATGACATGGTATTACCGTATGAGATCATAATAGAATATTCAAAAACAACAATTTGTGCTATCATAACAATTTAAATCTACAGAGTGCTATCTCTTAATCTGATAATTGGAAATGAGTCAAAAACCAGACAAACATAGCATACTTTAAGTCTATCTCAATGATGAAAAAAATCCTGGAAATAAGACACAATACAAGGAACATGTTGAGACTAAAGATCAAGAAATGCTTAAGGATCCTAGGCACTTGTGATTGGATGGGATATAAAGAAAATGGCAAGTAACAATATTTTACACTGATCGTCTAAGAAGGTGGAGTTTAACAGTAACTGAGGTGTGAATAGAGAAGAAGTATCATTGATTCATAACAAAATAATGTGGTTTACATGTACCATGTGTCCATTATGCATCTGAGATTATCAGGTAGTCTCTAATCATACCGTTGTGACATACCATTGTTCATGTGAAAATTGTAATGAAAATGCTGAGTGCAATGTCCTGTAAAATTTCGGGTTTAGATACTAAGGACTTTGTTGCAACACCATTGGTCAATGGTTGCAGCTCACTAGCCTACTGGACTAAAGTTTTATAGCTAAGACAACAGTTTAAGAGAAACTAATTCCAGGTGCATTTAATGTGTAAAGTATTGAATTAATATAGTGTTCTTTCGGTGCCAAGAGGAATGATTAATTATTAACATCAGAAGCAACACTATTTAGAGACAGAAACACTACAAGGCACAAGGAATATCCAACAATAGTTGTGAAGGATAAGGTTTTAAAATAATCATAGTGACTTTAAGCAAACCTCTCTTGTTAGACTAAAAACTTCAATCAATAAGAAGAATCATGACTCAAGTTTTTCAAGTATATAAGAGGTTCAGAAAATTCAGAATTATGCTAATAAAAAATGGAAAAGTCTGTCGACGTACCATTGAAGAGGAAAAAAGCTGGACACAAAAAGGTTTGCCAATTCATCCAAGCACAAATTGAAGTTCTGTACAAGATCAAGAAAAACGAAAGAATTAGTAGGAAAGATTGATAAATATCCAACTGAAAAAAATAGTTCACCAAATGATAACCATGAACAAATGAGACTGAAAGGTAATGACTAGGTTCCACCAAAGCGAAGTCAGAGATTAGGCATCAATAATGAACATAGACAAAGAATAAAAAGAGACAAAGCTATGTATTAGAGAACTGCAAGTTCTAGCACAAGAAGATATTTAGTTACTGTGCTCCTGAGAATAGTGTACATGGCTCTTCAAACACATTGGATGAGGCCAAGCTATCTCATAATCAGATGCATCCAGAAAAATTCTTAAGGTCGGTGTCCCAAAAATACCCCAATTCTCACACATCAATTTGTATTTGATAAGATATATACTATTGACACATTAACAGTTACATATCTCTCGGCTCATTCGGAGAGATACAGTAAACTGATACAAGTTTTATTGATGCTTCAAACTTAAAACTACTAACATTTTGATGCTCTTTTTTTTTTTAATAATCACGAGGTAGGAAGACTATCAACCAAAGAATGCACGACGATCACATGCTATTCCAAGCAACATAAAGCAATAAAGACAAAGTTAATCACTTTCAGGAAGGGATAAAAAAAGAGAAACCACTATATGATCTTACCAGCTATATGGAACCTACTGGCACAAAGAAAAGAAAAGCAAATCATTTTCAGATAGGCTTACAGCCTTTCTGTAATTTTCAGAGTGAGACTGGTGAGAAAGGATAGATCTCCCCTGCTTTGCGACATCAACTTTTAGTCCCAAAACATAAATCTACCCAAAACTAAGGCTTAGCTAAAATATTATCAAAGTAATAAAAGTAAAAAGTAACATTAGATCTTCATCCAAAAACCTTGCTTTAATTACGAGCCACAAGAAGAACATTTCATTCTCGATCCGTGTCGATTTGAGCTCGCAATTTGCAGTAAAAGACAATATATCATAAAGTAAACAAAAGGAAATGACTTAAATCATTTGCTTTAGCTATGATTTAAATCATATGTACGTAAATAAAAAGAAAGATAACTTGTTTAGAGAAAGGAGCGGCGCTGGACACTAATGCTATTAGAGAGATCTTTATTGATAAAAGTAGCCTTTAACAGGAGTCAGTGGCTGCTATGAACAAACTTTGGTTTATCATGGACAAGACTGGCTTCCTGTTATCCAACCACAACTCCATAAAAATTTATGATTCACCATAG